AAGGGGGGGATCAAATGTGATGCCATTACAGATTTAAATGGCCCTAAGTTAGGGTGCATGCCCTAAGCACGGCATCAGCAGGGCCATAATGGTGGGGAGATAATGTGCCAGGGAACCAGCAGGTTATGGGGCTGGGACCCCGTTTATTCACCCCTCCAGAAATATTCAGCCTTGACATCTGAACAAGGAGATGTTTGCTCCTTCCTGCTCTCCCATTTTTAGTGCTGGGCCAGCAGCAATCACAGTGTGATGTTGTTTTGTGTTCCCCAGGGCAACGCTGCTCCGGACTCACCTCGCACTGGGCTGTCCAGGAGTTCTTGGCAAGGCAGATCGGCTGCTCCCGGTGAGTGCCCCCACTGCACAGTGGCTGATGTGGTGGAGGGATCTCAGGTCTGCTTGCAAACTAGTGCTGAACCAAGGACCCTGAGCCCTGGCAAAGCAGGACCTGAAATAGAGGTGCAGTAAGGGAGGGCTCAGTCCTGAGCCAGACCAGCTCACACTGGGAATTCAGAGGGGTAATGGAGTGTCAGGGGAAGCAGATTTTCCCTCAAGCAGGAGGTGAGAACTGCCTACCCACTGCCTACCTTTAATCACTTGCAGTGGGGTTGGGGGCGAGCAAGCTCAACCTTCTCTATGGGGAGGGAGTAGGATTGACACTCTGTGGAGGTGTCCTAGCAATGACCCCATAAGCATTGACCTCTCACAGTGGATGAGGTGCCTTAATGTGCAACCAAGTATGAACCAGGGGCAGCAGGGCTGTGAGGAGGGACTGGGCACTGCTGATGAGGCAGATGTTCTATGATCAGTCTTGGTGGAGAAGGTGGTTTTGGGTGGTGGAGGTGTGTTTTGGGTGCTCCCACTGCATGAGCTTTCTCTCCTTTTCTCTGGCAGCTATGCCCCACTTCTTGGATTGGTTTGTGCCCGTGTATCTGATGATCTCCATTCTCATCCTGGTGGGCTTTGGAGCTTGCATTTACTACTTTGAACCAGGACTCCAGGAAGCCCATAAGTGGCGAACACAGAAGCCACTCATGGAGCGAGACCTTCGGAAGACGCTGATGATTCGGGACAACCTGGCCTTTGGGGTGCCTGAGGTCTGACAAGCTGCCCGTTGCAGCCAGAGGAATCTCTCCTGGGTAGGCAGCAGACCACAATCCTCACCAGGGATGGCAGTCCTGCCCTGGTAAAAGTGGGGCTGGTCATCACTTTGCTCTCTGCTGATGTGGGTCTCGTACTCATCACTCACCATTCTGCCCCTTTGCTTCTTAGTCAAGATTTGTCTGGCTGGGCTTCCCATGTGCTCACAGCTCTTCAGCCAGCCAAGGACTTCTGCTCCTTCCTGTGGCCAAGACTGATGAACCACTCAAATGAAGTATCCCTTGTTAATCACTTGAGTTTGAGCTGCCTGGCATCTTGACAGGATCTTCAGTGGGAGACATACCAGGTTTTGCAAAGGGGTACAGAACCATGTACTCCTATTCCCTAGGTTAAATCTAACACAGTCTAAGTCCAAGGGGTATTTTGGGGAAAATAAATGGGGTTTTAATACAAATTGTTGCTTCAGGTGAGCTCTTCCCAGCACCGCCCTTGATGGTGAGCTTGCTGAAGCTCTGTGTAGAGGGACCAAGGGCTCAGTGAGCCTCAGAGACTGAGCACCTTTATCCTTGCTAAATGCACACCCCTTCTGTGTCTGTTTGGGAGATGGAGAACATCCATTCCAGATGCACCACATGCAAATTAAAGGTCTTTATTAAAGAGGTTGGTTCAAGTCCTGTGTCAAGCTGAGAACGTTCTGCCGCTCTCCATGCAGGGGTGCTGCCAGACTTACCACATCAGCTGCTCCTGATCTGCCTGACCTTCTGCTCCTCTGTCACAGAGGGAGATGGGATAGTCTGTGAAGCTACTTGCACTTGTTCAGTCCCCTGCACTGCAGAGCCCTACAGCTTGGATAGGCTCTCTTTCTTAACTGTTTCCCAATGAAAGCTGTGAAGCATCCCTCAGCGCTTTTTCCCCCTGCGTGTCTCTGAGAGGGAACATTGAGCCTGCCATCTGAATGGGCCCATTGTACCACCTTTGCTTCCTGGACCCAAGCCATATAATGTGGGTCTGGCACAAAATCCCATGTTAATAGACTTTCTGCACTGTCACAGGGATGACCAGCCACCAAAGTGCTGTATGAAGCTGTGACAGTGGAGCTGAGAGGGATATCCCTATCCTCTCTCTCCCTGACAGCCCAGTGCAATGCCCAGTGTGTACAGGGAGGTTTGAGAGAGCAAGGAGCCTGTGGCAGGATGTTGTGTCTCCTCTCCTCCCACCCCAACATCCACCCTTTGCATGCATGTAGGTGCAATGGTGCTACCTGTGAATGCACAGAGGGATTCTCTGTGCCCCACTCCTGCATATCCCAGGTATGTTAGCTGGTGCCACCACCCTCTGTGCACTTGTCTGTGCATCCTGTGCCGTCACCTGGACCAGCCAAGATATTGGCAACCCACATCTACAGCATCCTTCCATTGTTATGGCTCTGTGCTCTAGTCCCCAGTGGCTCCTTTCAGCAGCAGGGGTTCCTCAGGCCAGCTGTGAAAATATGCCACAGCTCCTGGCTTGTGTCACTCAGCCTCACCTGTGAACCTGGGAGCAGGAAGTTTTCTCCTCCATTCCCAAAGAAAGAAGGAGCGCTCATTGGACTGCTGGGAGTGATTTATGCAGGGAAATGCAGTGAGTGGGATTACTTTTGCAACAAAAGTCTTGCTTGCCCTCAAAGGCTCAAAGCACAGGTGCAGCCTGAAAGTTGGTAATTCTCTGGGGATCCAAGTTAATTTTTAGCTCTAAGGAATAGATCAGGACATCCTGCAAATATCCTGGGTCTTCCTGGGACATTTCATCTGCCAGACTGCAATTGCATCACCGTTCTTTTCCACACCAATACCAGCCACCCAAGCAGGAGCTTTCTGGCTCTGTTTCAGACAGAGGACAAGTCAAGAGTCCTTTCATTCAGCCGCGTAACAGAGACTGTGATGCAAGTACCCTAACTGGGGAGTCTCACTCAGCAGGGAAATGCAGTGAATAGGATTACTGCTGTGCCCAAAGTTATACTAGCCCAGGCAAGCAAAGACTCAAAAGAGCAGGTATAGTCTCAAACAGACACATTTTTGTGACTTGGGGCTGTGAAATGGAAATGACAAGGGGCTGGGTTGCATGGTATGATGTGCCACCCTCGACTGCACGGCTCACATTCCCTGCTCTCTGGCACATCACAGTCATATCTCCAAACACAGCTTAGAAACCTGCTTCCTCACCTCAACTCCCTGATGGGTGGGATTGCCCTGTAAACGAACACAGCTGAGCTGTGGGGTAGCATAAAAACCTCTCCACTGGAGTGGCTTGGAGCAGTCAGGAAGAAGTTAAACTGGAGGAAGGGGGGCCTGCAGTCACAGGGGTGCCCTCTCCCCTGCTCTGTGTTCTCCTCTGCATGCTGCCGTGCCTGTGTTGAACTCCAGTCTGCCCATGACTCAATGCAGAAACTGAGCAAAAAAAGACAGCAACCAGGTGAGGGCTGGATTAGAGAGAAATGAATTGTTAATCTCCTCTGGCTTACTTTTTGTGCTGTTTGGTCTGACACATTCAGCATTAAGCCAGGTATTTTCCATGGCTATGAAGGACTTTATTGTCAGCAGTGTCAAAGGCTTGCCCAGTGGAAGTGTGTGACAAACTGCACGGCTGATGCTTTGTTTTCCTGTTGTTCCCCCTGGGAGCTGCCTCCCTCTAGCACTGGACAGGCAGCAAGGAGCAGTCTGCAGTGAGGTTTCCTTTACAACAGAGTAGGTCTCCATCCACCTGGCTCCTGTGCCAGCTACACTGCCGGGCTATCTCGGAATAATTAAAGGCAAATGCTGCCTGAAAATTGAGATTGTTTCTCCTCTGTGGGATCTGTGCAGCCAGAAAGACCTCAGGGGAGAAAGAAATAGTCACAGATACTGAATTAAACTGTATAAGAATCAGAGAAGGTACTTATTGCTGGAAATACTACACAGTATCAGGTTGGTTTTTTTCATGTTTTCTGTCTCTTTGCCCTTAAGGAAGCAGAGAACTCACACTGTCCTGAGCTCCACCTTCTACCAGCATTTCCAATGAGTTGATGTGGGTCATTGGATAGTGATTCCTCCTCCACTTCCCTCAGCCCTGGTCACCTGAGATCAAGCAATCATTGTCCCTGCCACACTGTAGGTACTGTGGGTGCCTGTCTCTCCTTTTCTTTTCTCCCACTTGCCCACCAAACCATTCATATTCTCATCCCATCTCACCAAAACACCTTTCTCCTTTCCTCCTTGTTTACTGTGTTGCCCTTCAAAGTCTCTTCAGTGAGGAAGGTGTGAAGTGGCAAGCTGAATCCCTCTTGATCCTGAAAATGCCACAAAGCTGGCAAAAGTAAAAACCAGTCATAATAATGATGATAATGAAGAAGCAAAAGAAAATCAGAATAAGGGAATGAAGCATCAACTTGGACAAACACCCAACAAGTGATCACTGAACTTGCGTGGTGCGATATAAATTGTTGCACTGGAATATGCCATTTGAGGGGAAAAAAACTAAGAGAGGAAGGGAAAGCATTTCAAAAATTCAAATATTTTTGGTTTTGTTTTTTTTTTAATCGCACCCAGTGTCCTTGGAAGCAGGCAGCACAGGCCTGACCTGGCAGGTCTGCATCACTCCTCCAGCTCCTGCCATGGAGCAGGGCACGGGCTCATGTTGCAGAGCTGCCCATGCTGAGGGGCTGCTGGTGGCAGAGGTCAGGAAGGTGCTGGGCAGGGGCAGCAGTGGCCATGGCACCCAGCGTGGGAGCGAGCCATGCAAGCCACAAGAGCCGCATTGTCGCGGCTGGAGGCGGGCTGGCCGGGCAGGCTGGAGGTGGGGGCTCAAGCACGGGAATGACAGCGGCCGCGGGGAGCCCTGCACCCGAGACAGCGCAGGCTGACAGCAGGGACAGCCTGGGCCCCAGCCCGGCCTGGCACCCCGGCCCTGCCCTCGCACCTCTGCCGCCAGCCCACAGCCGGCGCCATGGAGGAGGAGATCGCCCTTCCTCGCAGCTGCCTGTCCGCCCCAGGGAGCCCCAGCGGCCCCGGCCGCAGCCCGGGCCCCGCACGGCGGCGGGACATGCCCCTGGCCGTGGCTGCCCGCACGAAGCGGAGCTGCCTGTCGGTCACGCTGCGCCGGGCTGCCGGGGGCGGCGGGCCGCTGCCCTGGGAGCGGCTGCGGGGCCCGGGCCCTGGCACCCCGGCGGCCGAGGGGCCCCAGCGACACGGCAGCTCTGACGGGACCGAGGCCGCCCCGGTGGCGAAGATGGGGGTGTCCTGCGCCCCACCACGCTCCGGTGGGTTTCCGCTGACGGGATGGGCTGGGCGGAGGGAGGGAGGGAGGCACCAAGGGGTCACTTGGCGATGACATGGAGCCCAGCATGGGGCAGGATCCTTCAGGAGAGGTAGGGTGATGAGAGCTCCCTCCCCTTGGGGTGATTTCCTCTTGACCCACACCAGAATCACGGGTGGGCAGCAGCTGGTGCGAGGACAGGCCGTGTGTTTGTGAGCCTGGCAGCCAACAGGGAGACAGGCAACTGTGGTCACCGTGTCAGGAGATTTTCTGGGTGATGGAATGCCTGTCTGTCTGTCAGAAACCAGTCTGTCCACTGCTCAGCCTAGCCCGGGGTAACTGCTGACAATTACTTCTACGTGTTCCTGTAACTTGCAGTGGGTGCAGTTTTCTTTTTGTCCCAGAGCACTGCAAAAAAGAGGAGCCCCAAACCCTTGCCAAGTCTGCCAGGCATCCCACAGCCTGGCCCCCACGCAGGGGGGTTGTCTTGTGGTGGAGGAACACATGGTGCTCCTGTCATCCCACTGACTGGAGGGTCAGAGCATTCCTGGATGCTGGTGCCCCAGCACAGCATGACAGGGACACAGTTCCTGTTGGGGCCGGGGCTCACAGAAGCAGGAGAAGGAAATGCAAAGCAGGGAAAGGGCATCCCCATGCAAAGATACGAGCAGCCAGAGGCATCCACACGGCTCTCCAGGCACAGGCACATCCACAGGGCACATGGAGGTGCCTGCCAGAGCACACGGGGATGTGACCTGTGTACCCCAACCTGGTCCAAGTGGGAGGATCTGTCCCTGCTCTCCCCGCACAGGCACACACACGTTTGTACACACGCACGCAGAGGGGACAGCGCTGGCTCTGCCTCTGCGCCTTGGGCTGAGGAATCATGGTGCTGGAGGAGAAAAGGTTTCTCACACCTTCACAGCAAAGCTGAAGGGCAAATCGCTTTTGATGAACCAAAACATTCTCAATTTCCTCCCTCTGGGAAAGCAGAAGGAGATTTTGCAATCACCTGATCCTACGAAATACCTAGGGGCAAAGAGCACCCTTTCTCAGCCCCGCCGGAACTAAGCTGCGAAGGGTTAAATATGCCCCTCCCTAAACAAGCGGAGATGCTGAAAAGGTTGGGGAATTGGGAGGGAAAAGGGCAGGAAAAGGCCTGTGGGGTGTGGGTGTGCAATCAGGGCCCCTCCAGGACATGGGGGCCCCATCGGCAGCGACCTCTCCAAACCCGAGGCCGTGCCCCCCCCGCAAGTCCGGGAGGCTGCCGGGGGCCTGGGATGGAGCCGGGGACCTGGGATGGAGCCGAGGGAGGGTGCGCGGGGGGAGATTTTGCGGAGATGTTTAATATTCAGGTCACATGACGATGGCAGCAGGAGCAGCACCAGCATCCCCGCTCTGCTGAAATAGCCACTGGAGAAGGAAGGGAAGGAGAGAGGGGGGAGAAGAGGACACAGGGAAGAAAGACAAAGGTAAAAGCAAGTGGAGCTTTGTAGCCCACCGTGCTGCTTCATCAGCGTCAGGCTAGAAAAGTGGGGGTAGACCCACTCCCTTGGGAGAGGATTCGGAGACAAAGGAAGCTTCATGTTCAAAGGTAGGAAGGATGCTCCGGGCTTGACAGGGCTGGGCAGCGCCAGAGGGACACCGCTGGGGCTTTTTGCGCAGGCATCCTCCGCTGTGCCCCCACGCTGCCCAGCTCTGGGCAGGGGGGAGGGATAGCCCCGGAGGGCAGCGGGGGAAATCGGTCCTGGCTTTGTCTTTCCTCTGTTTTTTTTCCTTGTATGAAGGAGAGGAAGCAGGGCTGGTCGTGGTGCTGATGGGGGGTAGCTAGTGCCAGGCACTGCTTTGAAAGGAAGGGATAATCCAGCTAGGGAGTGCCCACAAACTCCTCGGCACCTGGCTTGTCCCTTGCCAGTGACAGGCAGTGGGGATGTCCTGTGCCTCTCCCTGGGCATCTGCACAGGAGCCAGCAGGCATGCAGGCAGGGCACAGGCAGCTGTGGTGGTGTGGCTACCATGGTCCAGGGGTGCTCAGCATCCTCTCGCCTTGTGATACAGCTGTGCCATCCAGGGGTGAACTGGGACACGGGACAAGGATTGTATGGCTGGAGAGCAGCACCAAGGCCACGGCTGGGGCTGTGGTGGCTGGGCTGGGATGTGCCCAGCTCCTTCACCTCCAGCTTCTGCATCTCCAGAGAGGCTTCGGCACACGCTGCCCTAGATTTCACTGCAACCGGGCTCTTGCCCAAGCCCTTTGCAGAGTGCTGAGGGAAAGAAAGGTTGCTGTCAGGAAGGCTGCGGCAGCCCAGAGGATTGGGATGATCTTCAAGCCCGGCAAAAAGATCTGGTAAGAAGAATGGTTTTGTACTGTACTCTGATGTCAGGCAGTACATCCGGCAGGGCTCAGCCATTGCCCTGCACAGCTGAAAGAAATGCCCTGGGGTCATCATGTGAGCTGAGGAGGGAAAGGTATTTTTTCAGTGGAGAGATGCTCAGTCCAGCACCTCTGCAGATCAGAAGCAAGGAGCAGGTCCTGATGGCCATGAGCTCCAGGGAGGCTGTACTGCTAAAGCAGCTGCTTGCTTGCTTTCCTAGGAACCGGGCATCACCCTTTGAGGGCCTGCTTCTGCCAGCTACCTTTAGGTTTTGAACCCATCCCTCCTCCCTGTTCCATGTCTACAGGGAGTGGGACTGTGGGTCCAGGACCGTATGGGTGGAAGGGGCTGGGGTGAGATGTGTGTGAGGATCACTGCCTCCACCTGCAGAGGGACAGCCTTGTGCTAGACCACAGGAGAGCTGCAGCAAGGCCATCCATGTGTTACATGGGGGTTAAATAGCTTTTCCTTGCTGGAAGCTGGTTTGTGGTGAGCACTGTTTGCAGCTCTCCCTCCCTCTTGCCAGACAAAGGATGGGAAGGCAGGGGGAGGGGATGCGACTGTATCTGGGTTATCAGGACATAGTAGATGTTGGTCCCCACTACCTGAGCCCCCAGGGGACCTGCAGGGCCACCTCTGTCCCCACACAGGTCCTGGGAACGTCAGAGCATGAAGGGTGGTAGCACAGTAGTGGTGTCTGCTGCTGGCCACATATGCTGGCCTTCCAGGAAGAGGTTCTGGGGTGGCTCAGTGGTGTCAGAAGCAGGAGCTAGCTGGGACTATGGGGACCACTCTGGGCACTCATTCTGGTTTTACCTGTCCCTGCCTCAAAAGCTGTACCTTCCCTTAGTCCAGTCACATGGAGCATCTCCTGTGAGCCAGACATTATTCCCTAAGTGCCCAGCCCAGGGCCACCTCCTGCCAGATCTGGGTAGCTGGGGGGTATCACCAGCTACAGCCCTCTTAAAGGAGCTTCTCTTAGCACACAGAACAAAGCAGCAGGGAAAAGGGGGGCCTTGCAAACAGCAGATGCAGGTGGTTAACCTTGGCTATCCCTGTATTCATTATCAGCTATACTGGCTGTAGTGCCCTCTCGCTCATTCATTACAGGGGACAGCTGCAAGAGCTAGGACACAGAATGCCACCCCTTGACCAGCCACTCAGTGTGCTCAGGAGGCTTCCTAGCACCATTAGCTGTAGTGCACATAAAACAGAGCCACTCCCAGGAGAGCAGGCAGGCATGTTTCATGCCTCAGGGTGCCTCTTATGGCTCTGGTCCTGGTTTTGCACACTCCAGCAGGCTGTTCCTCAGCTGGCTCCTTGAATTCATCTCTGGGAGGCAAAAAGTGAAAAGTCATGTGCAGAAAGATGAACCCCGGGCAAATTTCTGCAAAATGGGGGTTTCCCTGCTGAGGCTGTATGGGAAGGAACCCCACAAAGAGAAGAAGGCAAGTGACCTAGAGGAGAAAAGCAGGTAGCTTTCTCCTGGTCTCAGGGTTTTCTATAGCTGTCCAAGAACCTGAATCTGAAATATCTGCCCTAGTCACTGCAAGCTCCAGGCTCCAGCAATGAAGCTTGCAAAGGAATGGTCTTGTATTATGATGTCCACAGCAGTTAGCAACATCTACTGGCTCTGGGCAAGGCTTTCCTTGGTGAGATTGAGGGATGAATGATGAGCCTCTTAGTGAACCTTGAGGCTGACAGCAAATTCCCTCCTTTCTCCTCCCTGTGTAAGAGCAAGGGTTGAAGGAATAAAGGAGAGGGCAACAGATTCCCTGAGGACAAGCTACCCCCCAGGCAGTGAAAGGGTCACAGCCCACATGGCCCATGTTCTGCACCCATCCCATGCAGCTGCTCAGCTGAGCTTTCTTCCCATCTTGACCTGTTCCCTTCTACCTTTGGGGTTTATTTGCCCCCATTTCTCCAGTAGCCAAGTGCCTCACTGGGCCCACAGCCCCCTGTCCCTAATTCCCTCATCATTCCATTTCTCTCTCTCTTCTCCCACTCTTAGGGCTAGGTAGGACCCCAGCAGGGCTGTGTGGGGTGTGTATGGAGAACGCTGCAGCAGCATAAGGGACACGGCACAGCCACACAACCATGATAGAGGTGATGGGGGCAGCCTGGGAGAGGAGGAGTGAAGGCTGGGGTGCAGGAGAACTGGCTGGCCTGGCCCCCTGTGCTTTAGCAGAGAGATGGGCTTTCCTGGCTTGCATCAGCTTTGATAAATCTGAAAAAAGACAACGGGAGCCTCAGGGGGTGTTTCGTCAGCAGGAAAGGCACATACTAGTTGTGATGGGTGTGAGAGAGGATTGCAGCTGAGAAGCACTTGGTGTGGCAGGCTGCCTCCTCCAGCAGCTGCCCGGCAGCATGAGGGGCTCCAAATTGCCAGTCTGACTCAAGCAATGGTCCGTCTTGTGCTCTGGTTCCCCCAGGGTGCTGCTCACTGCTTCAGGAGAGGGTGATGATAGTCCAGGGTGCCTTCACTCAGTGGGGAAAGGCAGGAGGGGGGCCATCCTCCCACTCTCCTCTGTGGGCAAGGTGGAACAGAGGTGGCACAAGAGCCTTCAGATATTAGCCACAGTGCTGTACATGAGTGGCTGTGCTACCATTGTCTCACACACGGGAAAACTCCTTCTCCCAGTTTAATATAGAAGACTTCCCAAGCAGTGAAAAGGAGCTGGGTGGAGGCACCCTTCTCCCTGCCAAGGGTGGCCCTTTCACAAGGCCTTTCCTTAGCACGTGATAGTGGGATATTATAGCTTATAAAAAATGTGTAAAATCTTCGCTGTGTAGAGCAGCCCTTGTGTCAGCACTGGAGCTTTTATGTGGGAGTGCCAGGCAGGGTCCCCATTCAGCCATGGAGCCTGCTCCAGTCTAACCCTGTCCTTGAACAAAATCTCTCTGACCTCTTCTCAGTCTGTCTCTGCCTGGCTTGACTAAGCTGTGACAGGAGCCCCACAGTGGTGCCATCAATGTCACTGGTCCAGTGACTTCTGAATCATTTTCCTTGTGAAGAGGGGCATGTGTCACCACCAAATGGCAGTCGCCTGCCTAGCTGCTCATGTTCTTTTCTGCTGCCAGTGGATTCTGATAAGTGGAGAAAAAAACTCTGCCAAAATGATAGAAAGGGATAATTCAGTGTGAGGTACTTGAACTGAAGTGGCATCCAAAACAAATGAAGTACTTACCAAGCAAAAGTGCATTCTGTCTCTGTCCTGGAAAAACAACCCTCTAATGAGACAAAGCATGGGGGAGTCAAGTAATTAGAGTGGGAGAACCTCTAGTTTGCAGCTGGCTTGGATATGAAAGGTATTTGATTCCTATCCCCTTCATCTTCCTTTCCAGATTCATCCCTCATGCCTGCCTTCCCCACCAATTAGAGCTTCTCTTCCATGTCCTGTACTCTCCCAACCTCCGCTTCCTCCCAGCGGGTGGGAGCTACTCATTAATGAGACAGAGATAAATGGGTGAGGCTGCCCCTAGCAATGTGTGCCATCACCAAAAAAAGGGTCAGGGAGGCTGGAAAGCCCTCAGGGTTTTCTTTATACCCAATTGTTTTACAGGGAAGAAGTGAGGAGGGAAGCAGAGATGAGAAGGGAAAGATGCAGATAATTAATTTTCTGATCATGATGATTAGTTTCTTGAGCATGACAAAAAACATTGGTCTATGGGTGGGATGCAAGCACAGAGATTATGGCCATGCTTTCACTTGCACCACTGTCTTCTTCTGAGGAGCTCAGCCTGTGCACCACAGTCAGTAATGCAGCCACCTGTGGCAATGGCCAAGCATGCAAGTCCTCATGGTACATCCCAAACTCTGTTTCAATGCTAGGACTTGACACATGATTTTTTTAAAGTCTGTTCCATCACAAATTTTATGGTGAACTTGGAGAGGCAAAACACTGGTCATCCTGTTGAGAACTGGGAGACAAAAATAAGGAGACACACCTGGAGCATTAGGCACCCGATTATCAGCCCAGCCAGCCTTGCTGCCCCTGCTTCTGCTGTTTGGAGGGAGCCATCAATACGCTGCATTCTCAATGAACCCCACTTCACCTCCTCGTCTGGAGTGAGACATAGCAGAGTGTGCTGGAAACTCAGGTAGATGTTGCTCCGTGATGAGTGTTACAACTAAGATCTTGACATTCACTTCACCTCCATAGCCCTTGAAAAGGCTGCTCAACGCTGCCCTCAGCCCCTGTGACAGGTCAGCAAGGAGGCTGTTGTTACACCTCAATGATGGTTTTTCAATCTTTGTCCCCATGCAGGATCAGTGGAGGGCAAAAACGAAGCAGCCATGTCTGAGCTGGTCCCAGAGCCACGACAAAAGCCAGTTGTACCAATGAAGCCCGTGGGCATCAACACCAGCTTGCTGGGCTACATCGGTATTGACACCATAATTGAGCAGATGCGCAAGAAAACCATGAAGACGGGTTTCGACTTCAACATCATGGTCGTAGGTAGGCAGAGACCAGCTGAGGAACTGGGAACCATGGCCAGGGACTGTCCCAGGGACTGAGGCCAGGTGGGAGAGCAAGCCCTGCTGGGAGGGCATGAGGGAGCAGACAGAAGTTGCTCTGAGGGAAAACAGAGCCTGCACAAGGCAAGGAGACACCTCCAGCCCCTTCCCCTGCCAGCCTGGCTGTGTTTCTTGGGCCTGCTGTCATCCCCAGGCTGTGGGAATTGTCACAAGCTTCCTCTCTGCAATCCTCAGGTCAGAGCGGACTGGGAAAGTCGACACTGGTAAACACCCTCTTCAAATCCCAGGTGAGCCGCAAATCTTCAGGCTGGAACCGGGAGGAGAAGATCCCCAAGACAGTGGAGATCAAAGCCATTGGGCATGGTAAGAGCCAGGCTGCTGTGGTGGAAGCAATACTGATGCCTCAGCATAGTTTTGCAGAAGGTCCCAGCAGTCCACGCAAATAGTTCTTTGGTATTAGGCAGCCCTTTCTCCATAGGAAGCTAAAGGACAGTTTAAGATGGCCTCAGAGACAGACAAGGCTTTTCTTAATCTGAAAGGCCCCTGATGCCACAGCCAAAAGTGAGGGGTAGACAAATAGAGAGACTTCATCATCGAAGGCATTAGTCTGCAGTTGTGGATTAAGCCTTGCTGTAAGTAATTTTCACCTGCAGTTACATTTAATAAGCTACACGGGTTGCATTGTTGGGTCCCATCCCAAGCCTGGTAGTGCACACCTTCTCACTGGTAGAGCAGCAGCACAACTCCTGTGGTGGTGCAGGGTAATGAGCATCATCTCAGATTCAGGAGGATGCGTTAAGGGAAGTTGTGTTAGGGTAGGTACTGCCTTTGGGCCACAGACCAAGTACAAATCCATTTTCTGGTGACAGACTGGTGAAAGGTGGCTTTTGTGTAGATATTACCAAAATTTGGGATCAGAGATGGAAATGAGGGTCATAATGTTGAGACATGACACAAGCTGGTCTGGTTATGCTTGCTGGGCAGGGATGAGGGCAGAGCTCTGTTGTTCCCTTGTGGGACACAAAGACATGTTTCATGTCGGAGCAGGTCCCCAGGGAGGAGTATGATTGTTTGCAATTTTTCCCCCAGTCATTGAAGAAGGTGGTGTCAAAATGAAGCTGACAGTCATTGACACACCAGGATTTGGGGACCAGATCAACAATGAGAACTGGTGAGTTTTACAAGGTCAAGACCTTGTGTCCCAGAAAGGGCTGAAGTTAGGATGGTGTATGAGTGACTGTCATCTGCTTGGCCCTTGAAAGCATCTGGGATCCTACTGCACTCGGGGGCCCATAGTGGGGCTGTGGGACTGTGAAACCATGGGTCTGTGTGTGTGATTGGGGGTATGCACATATTACATGGTGAATGCTTATTTCTGTGGCCAGTTACAGAATCTCTGAATCAGCTGTGCTGATGGCGAGATGCTTCAGGTGGATTTTGTTTTTATTACCTGAGACTGCTGTGCTGCTGTCAGAGCTGGGATCACTGTAGGCAGGAACACGAGGAGATTTGTACCTGTCTATTCATCCCACTTTCCCACTTTAACAGCTGGGAGCCTATTGAGAAATACATCAACGAGCAATATGAAAAGTTTTTGAAAGAGGAGGTGAATATTGCAAGGAAGAAACGAATTCCAGACACGCGCGTGCACTGCTGCCTCTACTTCATCTCCCCTACGGGGCACTCGTATGTACACAGTCCCTTGTCCTTCCTCCAGCCCTTGGTACCTCTGTGCCAGATATATACCCTGCACTGCTACACCTCAGACATGGATCCAGGGATCCTGCCAGCAGGACTGGGCACTGTTTAGCTTAACTTTGGGAGCTGTGGGGCTTGAAAGGGTCTAAGCTTACAAGAGCGGGAGAAATGCCACTGTGTTTTTTGGGAGAGGACAGAATGGATGGGAAGAAGGAGATGAGAACATGGGGGCAGCAAGCAGGGTATGTACAAGGGAGGGTTCACTGGTGCCCTGGTGCTTGGACAGTCATTAGGATGAAAGGCAAGGACAGTAAAAAGTGACCAATTCCCTCTTGTTCCTTCTTGGGCTGCAGCTTGCGGCCTTTGGACCTGGAGTTCATGAAACATCTCAGCAAGGTAGTGAACATCATCCCAGTTATTGCTAAGGCTGACACCATGACCTTGGAGGAGAAGACTGAATTCAAACAAAGAGTGAGTGTCTCCTCTTCCGGATGGGATCCTTCCCTGCCCTGGCTTGGAGGTGGGAGAAATGAGTGGTATCCTTCTTCCTGAGATTGCAGTGCAGTCCCCAGGGTGTGCACAGAGTCCAGTGCTGGGTTGCTGGGTTAAGTCCTAAAGATGCAGCTGTTAATATCTCTGAGGCCATCTGTTAGAGAAGGAAGAAATGTGTGTATCCTTGTGATGTCTTGTGATATGTTCTGTCATGGGAACTGGAGAGCCAGACAAGTAACTGAGGTTGGGAAGAAAGACTCATCATTGCTGCCTTGTGTCCTCACTTTACTGTGCACTTCCTTGGGACAATCCCTCCAGCTTCTGCCCACTGGAAGGGTGTCCCAGATGTGTTTGCCTGGCCTTGCCAACTGCCTTCCCTTTAGGTTTGTGCAGCTTTGTGCTCCAAAATGTCTTTCTCATTAGGTGCGCAAGGAACTAGAAGTAAATGGGATCGAATTTTATCCTCAGAAAGAATTTGATGAGGACTTGGAGGATAAAACAGAGAACGACAAAATCAGGGTAGGAAACATTTTATTGTGGGAGGGGAAGGGTGGATGAGGAGGGCACCACATTTTGTTCCACACTTCAGCATTATTGCCCTCACACATAAGAAATAAACTGCTTTTTAATCTCCATTCCTGTGGTAATTGCAGTCTCTTTCCAGGGATATCTGTAAAGCAGAGTAAACCTATGAACAGCTGCACAACCCTATGAATCACAGAGTCTCCTGCACTCTGTGCTCTGGAAACAGATAGTTTCTCCCTGTGCTTAGAGATATCTGGGTCCCCAATAGCTTCACCTACTGTCCTACTTCCCTGGAAAGCTGCACACTTACTCCATTTCTGGCTTTCCTCAGTATAATTTCAGCCATTAAACTTGATGAATGTTCATATGGCTTATGGGGAAGGATTATTTGAGTCCTTTCTTTCTATTGTAAAGAACTACAAATCTGTCAAGAAATATTCACCTCAGACTATCCATATAAGCAGCTCTGGGCTGACAGACCCTCTGTTGGTTATGCTAAAGAACTTCTTCTCTGGTCATCCCCCTCCTCAGAAATGCTGCAGAAAAGCTGTGCCCCAGCTCTGGACCCCTTGGCACTGCTGCAAGCTACCCACGCAGCTTGTTGGGGTGCAAGGACACCAGGAAAGCAAGAGTACAGAATTCTAGGGATAGCACTGAGGGGTGAAAAGGACAGCCAGTGAAGTTTTGCTCTGGAGAATCTCTTTTCTTGGAGAAGGCTTTGTGTTTGTTGAGCTGAGAGGTGGAAAGGTGGATGGGGAACCATGGTGGTGCTGGTCTCTGGAATGGGTTCAATGGATCTTTCCACGCGTCTCTCCCCAGCAGGAAAGCATGCCCTTTGCAGTAGTGGGCAGTGACAAGGAGTACCAAGTGAATGGCAAAAGAGTCCTGGGCAGGAAAACACCTTGGGGAATCATTGAAGGTAAAAGACCTCTTGCTTATGGGAGCTGGAAGCATTGTCTGCAGATCACAGTAATAGACAAAGGTCCAGATAGCATGTCCTGTGGCTACCCTTCCCATCCCATTTGTGACAAACTGCTTGAAACCAAGCAAAACGAGAATTCTCAAATAGTTGTGCCAGGAGGGAACTGCCATGGTCAATATGGTGCCACTGTCACCACCTGGCAGAAGCTGGAGCCACTCTGAACGCCATGGTATGTGAAGCTAAGCTCCTGAGGTTGGCTTGGTTTTCAAATGAAAATTAATGTGTGACTGCTCAGCATCTCTTAGTGTGTCTCCTCAATGCTCAGCAGCGTGGCGTTCAGCCAGTCCTTCCTGAAGTACTTGGAACCTGCCCCCATGGCAGTGACTTTCCCATGCTCTATAACCAGAAAGGGGCTGTTGAAAAAAATCAAATGTAACAATTGCTTGCTTTCTTTTCAGTGGAAAACCTCAATCACTGTGAATTTGCCCTACTTCGAGATTTTGTCATCAGGTAAGGTCATGGTCATGCACCGGTTTGCTCTTGACTAGCTGGGACTCTTCCTGAGATCCAGTCAGAATGAAATTGCCCCTACTAAAAGGGAAATAAAGTAAATTTCAGGCAGTGAAAGCTTATGTGGTGTAGGGTTGGATTGAGTTAAAGGGTAGATACTATAGTGCCTCTCTTAGAGACATGACCACTGTGTCAGGTAGGTGCTAGTTTTCATGTATGAGCTGGATGCCTGGGGAAAAGCAGGATACTACCACCCCTCTCAAGGTTGCAAAAACTGCCATTAAGGGAGTTTTAAAAAATCCCATTGTGGTTGCAAAAACTTTTAATTGCTGCTGACAACAGGTCAGTAATTAAGAGGTTACTACCACATCCTAGATTGTGTTTCCTTCCAGGTTGAAGGATGTGCTGGAACATATGAGCTGGAAGTGAAAAGCTTCCTATTCAATTAGCTTTCATTGTCCTGTCTTATTTCTACTCTGTTTCATGAAGTTGACTCAGCACAAATTCTGCAGGAGAGCTGTAGATCCAGAGTGATCTCTCTTCCCTCTATAAAAACAACACAAAAAACAGTTCAAAACCAAAGCCCTGTGGCTCATTCCACTTGTGGGTATGGTGCTATTGAGACATTTGGCCAGGTACAATGCTTTGACATCACCCTACTTTCCTATTTTTGTTTTGTAATACCTTCTGCAGCAGAGGTGCTTTTCTAAAGTCTTTCAGTAAAAGCATCCTACCCAAATGATCATCACAAAGCCTATAACAATCCAAGCCCCGGCTGTGTATGGAGGTTAGGGATGATGCTCACAGCAGTGTTCTGCAGTGAACCTGATACACCTCCTGATGCTTCCTTGCCTCACCACTGCTTCAGATAAGCCCCAGTCTGCTGTGACACACCAGGATGGCCAGTGGCTGGGCCAGTTGCACAGGTGAGAGAAGGGCAGGGCACTGGCAAGCACAGCCAGGAATTTCAACCCATGTCCTGCATCCTGCCTGTGTGTTCTCAAATACTGATGCTCTAGCTCTCAGTTGAGTATGATGGCACCCATGCTATCCATGCAGAAAGAGGGGTAACAATAATTAGCTAAACTGACTGATTGAAAAAATCTTCAATTTATTTTGGGGAATAAAATTATGATCAGAAGAATAATACTTACTGAGCTGATATTGGCTATCATGTCCTCTTTCCCAACCCACTTTATCCCCTGCAGGACCCACCTTCAGGACCTAAAAGAAGTGACCCACAACATCCACTATGAGACCTACAGGGCCAAACGGCTGAATGACAACGGAGGGCTGCCCCCCATGACTGTGGAGACAGAGGAAAACCACGAGAGTAACCTGTGAAAGACCCTCCCCCTCCACGGTCACCTGGTGACTCTGGCTAGACAGCCCACCCCTGCTACCCTTGACTCAGCCGTGGGCCTGTCTCTGCAGCATGTGCTCCGTGGAGGGAGAGGATGCAAGTGTGAGTGCAGGCGTGCGTGTGCCTCCCCGTGTGCCGGAGGGGGACAGGGGCATCTCCCCCGTCCTTCCCAGTGTCCCCATTCTCGGTTTGTTTTTGCACAGTGGACTGTCCGTCAGCTTCCTTTCCCTCGTTTCTGTGTCTCAGCTGTGTATCTTGCCTGGGGGAAATAGTGTTGGGGGGGGAAGGATTTCTAGGGGCATGGATTTTGGAGGGGGGAGGTGTGGGGCATGCTGTAGTCCTGTTTTTATCACTTGGACACATGGCAAGGAGAGACTCTGGGAGAGATGGTGGAGTCAATGCATGCATGTTTCAAGAGATATCAGCAGAGATTTCTCTTGGATCTTCCATGGGTGTAAAGGCAGCTGGTTGGTCTGAGGGCATGGTGGGCTGGCATTTTATCCCCTTTTCTTGCTGTGGCTTCCCAAGGGGAAATGGCAGCTTCGAATAGGGTAGATGAGAGAAGACTGGCATGTTTTGTGGTTCAGAGCAAGTGACTCGTGGGAAGAGACAGAATTAGTTCTTGGCCTGTAGCATCTGTTTGAGAAGCATCAAATTACTTGGGGAAAATGGATGTAGTTTCCAAAAGAAGCAAAACCCAGGGGGAAAGAATGTGTTCCTGCTGCAGAGGGTGCATTTGCCCCATTGCTGGGGTCACCCCATGCCCCTGCTGCAATCCCCCAGTGCAGTGGTCTCTCTCCACCAGCACTGAGCAGGTCCTAGCCAAGCCTTCCCCACAAGATGGGCCCTCTGCTGTGCGAGCACAGGGAGACAATCCCCCAGTGCAGTGGTCTCTCTCCACCAGCACTGAGCAGGTCCTGGCCAAGCCTTCCCCACTGCCACAGGGGGTCATGTGGGGCCTCCCCCCAGGGACAGCTCCGCTTGGCACAGCACCTTGGGGATCCTGGAGGAGAGCAAACAGCCATGGATTGAGAAGCACTGGGCTGCGGTGGGGATACAGGAGATACCTCTTCCTCATTCTCCTCAAATGGCTGCATTTGTTACTGCAGCAGTGCTGTTCCTCTGCTCCCTTACTGTCCCATGTCCTCCTCCACTCCTGTGCTTTTGTCCTCATTCCCTTTTAGACCTCCATAACTTTTTTTTCCTTCCTTTCTTTCCCTGTCTCACTTTCTGTTTTTTATCCTTTAAGTCTCTCCTTCATTTCTCCAAGAACTTGAAAATTCCTCTTCTTCAGGCTGTTTCCTCCCTCTCCCAAGCTCTAACACCTTCTTAACAATGTGCTTTTGTGTCCTGTTGAGAAGCTGTTGTTTTACCTTTCCCTGGAGGGGATGGGGAGGGAAGGTAAAGACCTGTGAGCAGAAAGAGGCACAGCTCCAGTGAAGACCACGTGCTTGTGTCTGGCTGGTGTGTCAGCCGTTTTCTGGGTGTCCCTGAGCGAGGTCAAAAGTGTCAGGGAGGGGAGAAGACCAGACATGTCCTGAGCTTGTCTCTGCATGTCACGTGGCTGGCAGGGGCTGTCCCCTCCAGGAGAGTTGCCAGCCACACTTAAAACGCACATGTGGAATGCCATGGCCTGGCACGGCAGCACTGCCAGCAAGGGGAAGTGCAGGAGCTTGGGATGGGGGTTGGAAAGGCACTGGAGGGAGGAAGAAGAAAACAGCAAATGAGCAGCAGAGGAGCAGAGGAGGACTCCAGTGCAACTTGATGTTGGTTGACGGAGCTGCATGGGAGCCAGGGCTGCAATAGGGCTCTCCAAGCCTTAGCAGAACTGTCAGGAGCGTCTGTCCGTCTTGTGGCTTTCTCTGGTGCTGTCACTGCAAAGCCAAGGCTCTCTTCACTCCCACTCCCCCCTGTCCACACACATCAGCCATTCTCAGCAGCACCAGGACGTGAGGGCCATTCCAGCACTCCCTAGTCCTCTCCCCAGCCACGTTCCCAGCTCCTGGTGTTCCTGTGTGCGTGCAGCCTGGCACACCTTCCCACTGCACCAGGCTCCTCAGTCCAGCAGGGAACAGGAGCCTTGTCACCGGTGCCAGCAGCTGTACCACGGACCCTTGCAGAACCCATCCTGCCACGCTGCCACCCATCCTGCCATGCTGCCACCCATCCTGCCCTGCTCAGCCCAAGGACATTGAAGACGTGACCCTCATCAAAGACGCTGCCAGGGCTCCGCTTCTCACAGCGCTGAAGCACGAAGCCACGTCCCATCGCCGTCACCCTGGGCTACAGAACAGTAATCTTTATGACTTTTGGGCCCAGCCAAGCATTAGGGCAGAGACACAACGCTGCCCTGCTTAAAGAAAGCAAAGCAGACCCATGCAACAGAAGAGAGAGACTTTCCTTTGCCTGTAATGTGGATTTCAAGGACAAGGTTGTGTGTTTTGCCCTATAGGTTTAGGAACTTTTATCTCTTTGTAATAACGTGGTTTTTACACCCTGCTCTGTAATTTCTTGTCGGATCACAGACTACACGTAAAGGATCCATAAAAGCTCGTGACAAAAACGCTCAGGTACTCCTCACTGCCATCTGCTCGTGCCAATATCCTACCAACATCCCGTGCACCTACCAGGAAGTCTACAAACGGCAAATACAAAAAGAAAAGAAATCCCACGCGGCACGACAACGGGAGATACTGCTGGGAAGAAGCCTCTATGAATGGACAAGCCGGGAAAAGTCTGAATCGAGCGCCACCAGCTGAGCTCCAGGATGGGCACAGCAAGTCAGCAGTTCCCCTGGGATATCCCGAGGGGTGTTGCAGAGGGGCAGCGTCTAAACCTTACACCAGAGATGCCCACTCGGCGCATTCGGAGGCTCTCAAGCTGTTCAGCAGAAAAGCCGTTCGCCAGAAAAACTTTGCTGAGCATGGCAAATCCTGGACAACCTCCACCGAGGCAACCACGGCAGCGAACAGGCGTGGATGCACTGAGCAGAGAGAGCCAGAGGAGCGAGCAGGGCGGCGCGTAGGCACCAGTGTCTGCGGTTCGTTGCGCGGGCCGGGCGAGACCGCCCCTCAGAGCGTCGCCGCCGGCAGCGGCGGCCATTAAAGCACCCAGCGCCGCCTGGCTTCCGCCTCGCCTCCCTCTCACTTCCGCCTCGCGCGCGCCGCCGGCCGCCGACGCCGCGGGGGGCGGGGCCAGCGGGAACGCGTCCCCGGGGCGGGGCCGCGCTGGATGTGACGTCACTGCCGTCACCGGGTCAGGGGCGGGGCCGGCGGGGTAAAGATGGCGCTGAACAGGAACCACTCGCAGGATGGCGGTGTCGTCATCCCCAATGCCGAGAGGTACCGGGGGGCCGGGCGGGTCTTCCTCGCTCCCTGTCCCCTCGTTAGGACCGGGCGGCGGGGCCCGGTGGTGGGAGGTCCCGCTGGGGCGCGCCCGTTTCCTGCCCGGCCGCGCTGGCCCGGCTCGGCCCGGGCTCTGCCTCGCTGAGGGCTCCCTGGCAGGGCGGGGGCGGCCTGGGGCGCAGTGGGGGGCAGGCCTGGCTGCAGTCCCTAGGGCTGCCCCGTCTTCACCGCGGAAGCTCGGGGGTCCTTAAAGCCGCTCCCGCGGGCGTACTGGGTGCAGACTGCGGCTACCGTCGCTCGTAAAAGTCAAGGAATTGGGGTTTTTTAAGGTCATGCACTTAGTGACGCCAGAGAGGCAGCAGCTATTTAAGGTAGGAGTCTTGATCACTTGAATTCAAAGTTCCTCTGCGCGGAGAAGCGCCTCTCCATGGAAGCACAACCGGCTGCTCGACGCCTGCCCTCGCCCCGGGCGGGGATGGACAGAGCAGCTGAACAGACTGGGGCTTCAGTTCGGTCCTGCTGGCTGCTCCCAGCATCCTGGCAAGAGAAATCCTAGAAACCCGAGGCCCAGTAAAGGATCGAAGTAAAAGGATCAGGAGTTGGTTTGAGTCTGGTGATCAACAGGAAAATTACACTCGAAAAATGTGCTCCATCTTGTGTTGAGTTTGGAGCTGACTCCTAATGCTTCAGTTAGGAAGGCCCTCGGACGTGTTGAGCTCATGCCAGTTTAAAGGAGATTTCTCCTTGAATCCTGGGCTGCACCAAAAGCAGCGTGGGCAGAAGGTCATGGGAGGTGGTTCTACATGTGTATTCCACTCTGGTGTGACCTCACCTGCAGTGCTGCATCCAACTCTGGGGTCCCCAATACAAGAAGGATATGAAACTGTTGGAGCAAGTCCAGAGGAGGCCAGGAAGTTGGTAAGAGGAATGAAGCACTCCTCTGTGAAGACAGGCTGAGAACGTTGGGGCTGTTCAGCCTGGAGAAGAGAAAGTTGTGTGGAGACCTTACTGCAACCTTCCAGTGTCTGAACAGGACCTGCAGGGGCAGGGGGCTCTTCATCAGGGCCTGCAGTGCTAGGACATGGAGTAATGGGCACAAACTGAAAGAAGGGAAATTTAGGCTAGACATTAGGAAGAAATTCTTTACTCTGGGGGTGGTGAGGCGCTGGAATGGGTTGCCCAGATGAGCTGTGGATGCCCCAGCCTGGGCAGTGTTCAAAGCTGGCTTGGATAATGCCTTGAGCAAACTGATCCAGTGGAGGGTGGCCATGGCCATGGCAGGGAGGCTGGGACCAGATAATCTTTAAGATCCCTTCCAAGCCTTAACATTGGCTTGAGATCATAAAACCACACATTGTTTGTGGTGCTGCTCAGTCACAGGTGAGGCAGTGTGGCCCCACAGGGGCACAGCCTCCCGTGACAGCCCTGGACAGGCATGCAGGTGCAGACCGGTTCAGCAGCCTCGTTACTCTCTGCGGTGCTGGCTGCGTGGTATTGCTCGTGTGAGTGGCTGCAAAGCAGCAAACATTACAATGACTGCATAGAAATTCTTCCCAGTGAGGCAAAATTATGTGAAATGCTGCTCCAAGACATGATTGAGGGAGTGTTCTGGTAAGATTAAAGCTGTCAAAAAGTTGGTTGTATTTAGCTTAGAATATATGTTTCCCACTTGCATTTTGGAAATGAAAAGAGCTCTGCTGTCTCATAAATCTGTCCCTTCCAGCCAGTCTGAGAGTCTGCATCTAGCTCAGCTACAAAGTAGTGTCCCAGTAGAATTTCTTGGTCAGGTTGTTTTTTCCCATCAAAGCTAGACTTTTCAACATCTTCATTCGTATACATCTGCAGTGTTCTTCTCTTCCCTAA